TACAAACCCAAATTCTTCTACAGAGTTTTACTTTTGTGATGACTGCGGATAAGGGATGATCCACCACAACAACCAACCAAGTAATGGGGATCGAGATTGTTCCTTCTAGAGCTTTGGAAGTGCCCAAAATTAGCTTTAAATCTCTAAAGGGAGTTATAGGAGTAATCCTTGCCAGAAAAAGAAAAGAAAAAAAGAAAAGAAAAGAAAGGTTGAAAAAGGGAAGAGTGAAATTCAAAATCATTAAAGGTCTATCTAGATATAGTAAAGGTCTATCCAGATATAGTAATCCTTGCCAGAAAAAGACAAAGAAAAACAAAAAAAAATAAAAAAGTGGAATTCAAAATCATTAAAGGCTTATCCAAATATAGTAATCCTTGACAGAAAAAGAAAAAGAAAAAGAAAAGAACAAAAAGAAAAGAAAAAGAAAAAAAAAAAAATTTGAGGAGATGCCTAATCAAAAATTGGCTTCACTTGAATCAACTTAAGGAAGGCTTAGTGTCTAATCAAAAATTGGTTTCACATCTGATCTTTTTAAAATATAAGAATTGAGAAACTCTTAAGCTTAAGAATATAATATAGTAAGTATAATTATTCTTAAATAAAATTTTTTAAGTGGAGAAGATAGAATGCCTAAACTCTATATTTGGAGAATTTACAATATTTCTGAACTAGATAGGAACTCATATTTTCAGACTTCTTTATATTAAAAACTTCTAAACTCTAAGTTGGTCTCATTTACTAAAGTTTTTTTCTAAATTGGACTACTATATTTTTACATTAAAATTTTAGAATATCCTAATGAAACTCATATACAGAATCTACTTATTTGTTTTTTAAAAGATTGGAGTGTCACTTGAGGATAAGTAATATTTTTAAGTTTTGGGGATTTTGATACAACTAAAATATAGAGTCTTTATGTACACATTTTTATACTTATTTTTTGAGATATTGCGCTTTAATAAAAGTTAGTTGTGTGTTTTTCTGTTATGTACAATCAAATGGATGAAAAATGGTAAAAGAAGAAAAAAAGATCAAATTTGGAGTAAAAATGAAGGAGAAAAAATAAACTGAGGCGCGTAAGTGCCAGTATCGCCCAGGTTTGGCGCTTACGCACCAGTTAAACTGAGAGAGCCACGCCTAAGAGCCAGGTACTCCGCGCTTAGGCGCCAAAAGTTGTTATTTGATTATTCATTGAATTTGGATGAATTTTTTAAGATGTTTTTGAAGCAACCCTTGGTGAAAATGTGACCCTTGGTGAAAATGTGAGAAATTTGAAGCAACCCTTGGTGAAAATGTGAGAAATAGTTATTGGATATAAAAATTCATTCAATTGACTTTTGAAAGGAGGCAACTTCTACAAGATTCATTGAATGGAGACACATTTTGAAGAGACACTAAGACACCTTTTGGAAAATTATAAAAGAAAACTTGGATCATCCATAGAAGAGAGAATCCATTCAGACCGATCCAGTGCTAATCACCACATACGTCGCCGCCGCCGCCGCCCACTTTTCTTTTTTATTTTGAGTTGTATTTTGTATTATAAGTGAAGGAAGAGATCAAAAGAACTTCAAGACTTTGGTGGAGAGGTTTTGAGATAAGTTTTTATCTTTGTGACTACATTTGGTTTTAATTTAGACTTCTTGTTTGTGTACATGATTTCTTTTTTCAAACTCAAGTTTGGTTGTGTTTCTCCATGAATTCTGAGTAGTTTTCTTTATCTTTTTCCTTAAAATGATAAGTGATTAAGTATTGGAGGGAACTTGTGTGAAGCATTAGTCTTTAATTTTGGAAGAAGTTGTGATGATTTTAAACCTTGCACTTCATTTACTTCTTGATTTGGCCAATTAAGATGTTAATACCTGTTGTGAGAACATGTAAGAACCGAGATGGTATTGTCTCAGTCAACAAATGGTAAGAATCACATTTGAGTTCATGAATGAGAATGTAGTTCATGTGGTTGAGTGCAAATAAATAGGAAAATAAACTTTGAAGGGTATAAAATCAGAGGATTTTAGAGTGACAGGTTAAAGCCCCTAATTTGGTTTATAGTTTTTGGTTTTGACACGAGATGTTAGCCCCCAGGTGGAGGGAATTGAGGGAACTCTAAAGTGAGAGCTGGTATCTTCCCTGCCTAGCTGGTCTTCAGAATCGTCTTCAATATTATTCAAACTATAGATTAGTCGGTGTTCTTTATAGCATCTCTAGTAAGGGTAAAGAATATTATTGCTCATATTTGACACAACACAATTAGAAT